GGCGGTCCAGCAACCGCAGTAAGCCAGCAGCGCCCGTGCACGCTGCGCGCAGCATGCGGCAGGCTGCTGGCCGAGCCGAGCCGATTGCCGGTCCAATCGACCCGCAGTCCGGTCCAGACCGGTTTGGACCGGCTGGACCGGTTCAGCCCTATTTTTAATCGGTTCGATTCTTATGATTAAGGTTTCAGCCCGGTTCATGATTTTAATGGTATTTTCAATTAAATTTCCGGGATTATTTCAGTTCAGTAAATTCATGTCCGATTAGTTCATGTCAGTTCAGTTTCGGTTATTCCGGTTAAGTCTAAAATATCATGTCAGGTTCAGTAGAGCATCTTAACGAAATTAATCAGTTAAGTTAATGATCTGAGCATAGTCATTAGTAATTGTTTATATTATTTTCAGTTTGATCAGGCATCAGCACTACCGTTCAGTTTCAGCAGTTCAGGTGGGGACTCAGACTAAGTACTACATTGATTATAATTACAGTACCATGTTTGTGTTGGGTTCTATTAGGAACGTCGACAATGTGCACATTTAAATCTATTGAATAATAAATCCTAACGCAGCGGAATCTATAGTTAGGATTAGGACTTACGGTTTTAAAATTTTTTGCCGACTCTGAGACGTTTCTGATTTCCGTTGATGGAGATCGTCTGAACACCAAAGTCTAATAGGTGGCTAGACTTGGCCTTTCTCAATTCTAATCGAGTCACCATGGTGCTCCAATCGTTCATCAAGCTCATCGGATCGTCTCGGACCTTCGGTAAGTGAATCGGACTCCTCGGACCACTCGGGAACCGCCTTGGACACGAACCGGAGCTGCTGGATCCACCTGAACTGGGTTGAACCATGCTGCCACGCTCCTGGGCCGATCTGGAGCTGCATGGACCGCCTGGACCGAGTTGGGCGCGATCTAGGCTGCCTAGAGCGAGTGGACTCCACCTGGGCCACGCTGGAAGCAACTGGGCCGAAATCTCGTCGCTGTTGGGCCGCTGGGCACGGGCTAAGGAAGCAGGGCTCACGCGGGCTTGGTCAGGCCGTTCGCGGGCTGTCTTCGGGTGCGCGGGCTGGGACTGTATGAGGCGCGGGCCTGGACGCGGGCCGCACGGCCCGCGCGTTTCTTCCTCCTCATCTGGTAATATAAAAAATATATATCTCCTATTTTCGCAAGGAGTAGGATTCGATCCCCCGACCACGCTTGGAGAAAACCGCGTCGGACACCACTGCACCACGCTTGATGTTGTCGTAATGGAACCTGGACGCGAGATTAAGAATCTGAACGCGAGCTGAAGACTTGGGCGCGGACATCATTCGTGAACAGTACCTGGGCGGATTTGTGCGCGCGGAAATTCGACGGAAAGCTGGGAAAAATATTTATTCGATGGATACGAATAACAACCTTCGAATCTTCTATTGTATGACCTTTACACGATCTCTAATAAATTTTGGTGGAGCGATTTATTAGATTTCCCAAAACCTCTTGATCATCCTCTTCTCTAAGACCTTACGGTGCTAACCGATTATTCTTTCGAAGAAGAATCTCTCTCTTTCTTTCTCGCTTGAAGAGGCCAAATTTCTCCAGCCCTTCGGGGAGAAAAAACGTGTAAAGCTTGCCAAGAGGTTAGGGGACCTAGTGTATTTATAGGCTACAATAGGGACCTAAAGGAGGTGCTAAATATGGGCTTATTCCTTAAGGTTTAGGAATCCTTATTATTTTCCATCTCCTTTTCCTATCTAGGATAATATTCCTAATTAAATAATTACCTTCTAGAAGACTCCATAGTCTCCTAACCCTATATCCTAGAAGGAATATTTCCATCCTTAGGGAATTATAGAAAACAATTAATTCCTAATTTCTTAATCTTGGAATTAAATAATAAAACATTCCACTAGAGTAATATTATTGCTCTCCCCATTTAGCTCTGAATTACAATTAATTCGTCTCCACTGATTAAATATATTAATCCAATAGATCGATTTATCTCCCCATGTTTAAGATATAACGTCCGTTGATTAATTAAATTACTGACAAAATAATTAATCAACTTCTTATTCATTTCCGAAACTAGTACCACTCAGATCCTTAATCATTATGTCGGATAACACATCCGCCTGCAGGGCTTGACATAATATTCCTTCCTGAGCTCATTTCGGGGACGTCATCAACCCAGCGCACTGGGACACAGTGACTGTAGATAAGTTATAACGGCACATCATGTAAACACACTTATTTACCAAAATACCGAGTATGTCATCCTAGCAGAATAGGAATCACCCTTGATAAATCAAATAAATAAGTAATGAATACATATGCCCATTTTATATTATCTTACAGCTTAAGAGTACGCATCAATTACTGAAGGTCTAGATTACAACAACGGTCAGTGACTCTCATAATCTTATCCTTCCGTGGTCCTGTTCAACACTTAACATAAGTGCTAGTGTAATCCTTCAGTCAAAGACCAACTGAATCAAGAATACACTACAGTCTTTTTCCAAGTGGGGTCTCACTGCCAGTCTAGACTGTGAACGAATAGTTTAGTCTTATAAGGAACCGATAGGTGATCTTTCTGTTCGAAACTCTTCGAACCACACTACC